CAGTCTTGCTGCCTGGGCTGCTCGCAACCAGTTCAAGGGTGGCCCTCAAAACCCCGCAAATTCCGAGACGACTGAGAACACCCATAAACCAACCGTTTAAGACGCATGGAGATTCAGCACAAATGACAGACCCTACGGTTCGGACCCCATTGGAGAAAGCACCCCGAGGCTGATTACCGCCATGAGAAGACATGTAGGGTGGTGTAGAGTGCAGAGCAAGTGGGGCGGTTTCGTGTGGCCGCACCCTGAACCCAAGGCCACAGCCCGTAACCCAGCCGTAAGGGAGCATTGAGGGATGTTGAGTTTCGAGACCTGTAGCTTCAGGTTTTGGGGTTTAGGGTGCAGGGTCGAGGGTTTAGGGTTTAGGTTAGGGACCCAAAAAGGACATAAGCATAAGCATTTTATAGGGATATCCTTTTTTTCCTATTATGTAGGGGCTTTGAGGCGGGGCATGTAGGGTCTTGGGATCAGGGTCATGGTTTACAGGATGCGGATTGTGAGTTGGACTCATAAACCCTAAGTTCTAAACGCTAAACCCCAAACCCCTAAAGCCCTAAACCCCTAGACTCTAAACCCCTCAACCCCTAGACCCTAAACTCCTAAACCCCTAAACCCTAAACCCTAGCATTGCCTAGAGTTTTGGACGGCTTTGTTGGTGTTAGGCTGCGGGTCCTTTGTCGAGGTCTTGTCTGGTGATTGTCCAACACATTCCCGAAGCCAATCCCGAAGGCTTAACATGGGTTTAGGGTTTAGGGTTTAGGCTTAACGTGGGGTTTGCAATCAATCGTTGAGGTCTCGAGCCACCAGCCTACCGACCAAGTGATAGTCTGATAGACGCCTTCGGTCAGCCCACAAGGCAAGTGCATCAAACTATTCAAGCCTAAACCCGAGTCCCTGGGCCGAAATCCATAATGGTCCCCAAACTGCCCAGGCTATTTTCCGCCTCTGAATGTCTGCCTGGATCTCAGCCTCCGGAGCTCCAGCGCTGGGAGCAGGGCTGGGGCGATAATCATTTCTGTTGCATGGAGAACATTACAGTGGTGATGTTGATTAAGGTGATTGTGGCAACTGACAGATTTCTGCTGATGGTGCGGAGGGTGATGCTAGATTGGGAGTATTTTCAGCGCTTTCCCGTCTTCGTTTGTCTTACTGTCTAAAGCCAAAATACACCCCCAATCTGCAGAGCCCCGAGCCCCAAGCTCTTCTTGGCGAGGTGAGGATCCTCCATGCCAGCGTTATCTCTTCATGACCGCATGTGTTTGGGGTTCAGGGCTCTCGGGCTTTATGGTCTTACATGCTGTTCCCTATATAACCCTAAACCCTAAACCCTAAACTAAACCCTAAACCCTAAACCCAAAAATCCTTTATGGTCCTACATGCTGCTCCGAAGGGTTATTTTGGGGCTTTGGAGCTTCGGCCTTCGCGGTTTGGAATACAAGGTTTAGGGTTTAGGGTTTAGGGTTTAGGGTTTTTGGGGCCGGGGTTAGGGGGTTCAGGGCTTGTTTTAGGCTTTCGCCGGGTCCTGGGAGGTTTTGTAGCCAGAAGGACTGTGACGGCGGCCGAAGTGTCGCCCTAAACCCAAGGTTTCAGGGTGGGTGCTATAGCTTTGGTGTTCTAGGGCTTTACGGTTTAGGGTTCAAAGTTTAGCGCTTTAGGGCATCAGGGTACGTTTAGCTTGGTAAGAAACCGAAGTGGAAGCGCTAGTTGCAATCGAGGCATTGTGATATGGGCGACTGCTGAGTAAGAAGGGCTTCGAGGTCGATCAGAACAGAGCGGGCACACTTCCTACCCGCAAGTTCGAAGCCCCACACCCCGATTCCTAAAGCACACCGCGTGATCCCGAAGCTCCAAGCATCCGCAACAAGCGCAGGACCCTGGATGACGACACTAAAATGTGCGTCTGGACCGTTTGGGGTCTGGTTGCTCGTGGGAGGTCGTGAGTCGTAGCAAGCTGTCGTTTCAGTGTTTAGGGTCGGGTCACGGTCTAAGGTCCAGGCTTCGAGTTCGCGCTGTGCTCTTGAGGGCTGCAGATTTAGTTTCGAGGGCTGTGGTGTTAGTTGATGCTCGTGTTTTCAACTTTTTCCTGGTGTGTCGAATCGCGTCCAAGCACGGGGCCCCAAACGCCCAAGCTGAAAGCCCCAAGCCTTAGACCTTAAACCTTGGCCCTAGGCCCCAGACCTTCGACGCAGACACTTACCAAGCCCCGCAGACCCAAAGCCTGTGGCAAGCATGCTAGATGTAAACATGTGAAGTGAGACGCACTATCTGTTTGTCCGCACTTTGGGTTCTCATGTTCCCGAATCCGTGTGCCCAGGAGGTCAAACCCCAAAGTCCGCTAGCTCTAAAGGCCTGAAGTGATGAACGCATGAACCTACCTTGAACTACCAAAGCCTACTTTGTGGAACTTCTAGATGAGGCTTCGAATTAAGAACCTCCAAAAAAGTATAAACAAGTAACGGTCATACTGCTTAAGTGAACTCGTCAGCCTTTGGAGGAGAGCTCCAATCCCGATGCTCTTTGGCGGTCTCATGGGCGTGTTGGTCGTCTTGGATCTGATCAGCCACAGGCCGAACGGGGTTTCAGGGATTTAGAGTTTCGGTATCCATCTGGGTTCGCAGGATTTCGTGTTTGTGTTTCGAGCGTCGGCTGTGGGTTGGAGGTTTGTGACAGGCCCACAAGAAGAGGAGGAAGAGCCAGCAGCCCTTCGCGGCGGAGGTAGCAGTGGTGGTAGTGGTAGTAGTGGCAGTAGTGGTGGCACTAATAGTGGGAGGAGGAGTTGGAAGAGGAGTCTCTCTCGTCGCCGTCGTCGGTGTAGTTGTCGTCGCGGTCGTGGTCGGGGCTGCACTCGGGGTAGTGCTGGTGGTTGTGTAGCGGGGAACGTATGCCATCACTGTACTACTTCAGAAAGCTGGGGAACTGGCCCTCACCACCGAGACTGCTGCAAGGTTGTACAAGAGCGCCATCCAGCGAGCGAGCCAGTACGCACAGTGAGAGGTTGGAGATCGGCCCTGAGGATTCAGTGGTCACTGGTCATCCTAAATGGCGCCAAGTCGGCATTCCAAACATGGACTTCCAAGCCATAATCCGCTTGCATCCATAGAGTTTGCAAAACGTCCTTGCAGAATCATTGATATCATTCTAGCTTGAGGTATTGTGCGGCAAGCGTAGCCCATCACAAGGATGTTTACATCATGCGAGAAGAGTGCGATTCAGGTTTTGCGGTTAGCGAAGTGGGTGTTGTCTACTTGTGCTCGGACCCCTTACGAGGAAATCAACAGTCCCAGCGACGAAACTCACGGTCCTCCCCAGCAGCCAGATCCATCCTCGCTCGCTCGCTCGCGCGCAGAAAACGGGGCTGGCTCCGGAATGATGCAAGAGCGATGATCACATAGCCTCTTATGGATGATGGTGAGAAGAGTGATCGTACGATGCTCAACCATTTTCATCATGATGATGTCAGCATCATCACCTTCATCATCATACCCATGATAACACAAGTAGGTGTAAATTGGACGGCATAAAGCAACGCTGGTACTCTTCATGGCAGTAAGTGCAGCATCACTCTTATTCACGAGTGGTGGAGGTGCTGGCACAAACCGCAACTATTATAACCTTTTTCGCGACAGCAGTCGCCGCAGTCGGCAAAGACCATGATGTTGGTGATGGCGGTCCACAAAGACAATGGTGTTGATGATGATTCCGAGGCTGACCCTGAGGACATGCCGAGCAGTTTGAAGACGTGCCTCGTGTGGTATTTCAGATTCAAGTGTTTCGGGCTCTACGAGGTAGCTCAGCCTGAGCATGTTCGGGACAGGACTGGGCTGCAAGATTTCAGTTTGCAAAGGTTGAGACATTGAGCTTCTGATCTCAGGTTTGAGAATGTTTGCTGGGGAGGAAGCTTCATGCCACGAGTTCACGACTTAGAGTCTAAATCCTTGTTGCAAGGACGACCGCACCTTACGTACCTCTGACCGGTGTAAGGTGGACACTCGAGGTACAGTAGCTCCGGCGAGCTCTTATTGCAGACATTTGTCAGACTTGGTGACGCGTTCCCATGTTATCTCTAAAAACCAGCAGTGGGCTCTCAAAAGAGTACAGCTGCATCAACCCTGCTGCATATTGGCGACTATCTTCAAGGCCCTAAAACCTCAATCCTAAACTTTCAGTTCTTTCGTCTACCCCTGAACCCTCAGCCTTAAACAGGGCCGGACATGGCCTGTTCTCGCTCGTCTTTGATTCCGCAGATGAGGCTCAAGCCAAGCCAATTGAGTTTTGTTTTTTAAGGGTTTTCGGAGGGTTTAGGGTTTTACGGTTTAGGGTGCCGGTGAGGTGATAGGGTCCATTCGTCTACATTGAGGTGGGGTGCTCCACGGCCACGCACATGCAGAGGGCTTTCCCGGGAGGATCGTGGAAGGGTGCGGCTTGACCCTGCAAGAGCACCTTGGGATTCTGGCTTGCGCAGTAGTCTTGGAAAACAATAACAACGGGTACCAATATAGTAACTATATCGTCACAGTGGCCACAATTGTAAGCTAGTAATATTAGCAAGACTAGTAAGAATAGTTACAACAATGATAAGAATGGTACTACTAACAATAACAGTTACGACGGTAAGAGTGGTAGTCTACTCATCGTTCGTACACCGATCCACAGACTCGAAACCACAGTAGAGGGGCCGTAGTGGTTTTAATAGGACTTTGGGGTATAATGTTCGTACAAAAAATTCAATGAAAGTGTAAGGAATCCCAAAGACAAGTATTACCAATGATTCAGCTTTCTATATGGGGGTTTCCAAAAATAGGGGACCCTAATATAGTACCCTAAATAGTAGGATCTTTGGTAAGGGCCCCCCAAACAAGGTACCTGTACCCCATATTTTCGGAAACTCTCCTTAAACCCTAAACCCTAAACCCCTAAACCCTAAACCCTAAACCCATATTGGCTACGGGAAGTGGTGCGAGAGCTAAGCGTTGGAAGCCTGTGGTCTGGTTCTGGCGACGATGGGCGCGGGGGACTCAAAATGCAGCCGCTCAGACTGAACCATTCTGCCTGCTCTGTTTTGAGTGTATTAGGGGTAGGGCTTTAGGGTCTAGGGTTCAGGGTTCAGGGTTTAGGGTTCAGGGTTTAGGGTTTGGGGTTTAGCGTTTCAGGGCTTTACGATGAAGCGTCTGTGGCCGGCAGGGGGCTTGGGTTTCCTGGGTTGGGGCTTAGGAGTGTGTTTGGTCAGCAAGCCTTGTCAGCAGATTCGGTTTAGGGTATAGGGTCAAGGGTTGTGCGTCGTATTGACGAGGAAGCCGCTGCCAAGCCTGTCTTGCATAGTGTAGTCAGGTTCCTAAACCAGAAACCATAAACCCTAAACCCTAAACCCATTGAACACCTCAAAACCGAGATGCTTCTGCACTCTGAGTCGAAGTCTGTACCCTTCATCCTTGTTGAACTCCGACGTTTCAAGCCAAAGTCTCAAATCCCAAACCCTAAACCCCAAACCTTGGAAAATATAAGGGCCGAAATAGTTACCAAGTCCATTTCGGGGATTCCTTACTATAGTAATAGTATAATACACCCCCAAAGCCCTATTCTAATTATTTCTGCCCCTACGTTAACCTCTGAGACTGTGGCCTTTGCCACTGCTGTGGCGATGGGCCCTTGGAGCCCTGGCGCGACTCCGGCGGATGCATCCGTGCCTCGCCTTTCTGCTTTCGTGGGTTCCTGCGAGGACTCCTAAACAAAACAGGTTTAGGGTTTAGGGTTTAGGATTCCTGCAAGAACTCCTACATAATGTGGGTTTAGGGTTTAGGGTTCCTGCAAGGACTCCTACACAACACGGGTTCCAACAGGGGCTTCCTTTATCGTTCCTTTGAGGATTCCGGCGGTGGGATTGCATTCAACGGCCCTGTCAGGGTTCCTACGCGGGTTCCTATATGGGCTCTTGTTGGACTGAGTTGTTCCGGGCAAGCTTCAAGGGACGAGGGCTTGGGGCAAGGCTTGGAGGGCTTTAGCTTTAGGTGTGTCCAGGTGTTTACAAGTTGATCTTCGAGAAATTCGGTTTGCTAGTGCTTACTTGCACCTTGGTTGGTTTCTGTGAGACATGGCTTTGTTGGCACAGATTCGCACCGAGTTCATGAACGTCTCAACCCTAAACTTAACCCTGAACACTGAACTTTCATCGGATTTCTGGACCAGTCAGGGGCCCGAAGCGATTTCACACCCATGGAACTGTGCGCTTTGCTTGATTGTTGCTTGGGCGGTCTGAGCCGAGCCGGCATGTGTGAAGCAGAACAAGGGCCATCTGCTATCCAGCCCTGGCGACGACAACTCTGCTGACCTATATATTATTGTGAGGGTTCCTTATTAGAATTATAGTCGAATGGCCCCGAAAACCCTATTCCCCTTACTCTTGCTTCCAAGGCTACTGAAGCCTTAGAGTTGAAGCTTTGCAGCGGTAAAGCTGAGACCCGCGACTTGTAACACCATAATGTAGGAACCTGATTAAGAAACCCTGGGCCTTTATTAATTAGGGTTCTTAATATGAACCCTAATATATTGGGGGTTATAGGGCCAGGGTTTCTTCTTCATCAGGTTCCTACATTAACTGCCAAGCCCCAAAACCCTAGGAACCCCAGAGCCGCAAGCACAGGCATGCTCATCATCGCTTTAGACTATGACTATGCGCCCTCCGCCGAGCTAACGTGCACAAAGGATGCACGCACCATGTACAGGCCGGACTCTTTAGGGTTCAGGGTGCCATCAAGGTATGAGAGAGGTACCATGGACCATCGCTATCCATCGCTGACATGATGCCTTGCCGTAAGGGGCGCGATGGGATTCAGGGTTCCTTTCAGGGTCCCTGTAGAGGCAGTACTATCGGGGGCCCTAAGTGTTACTATCGGGGGCCCTAAGTGTTACTATCGGGGGCCCTAGGTGCTCCTGTAGTGGTGATTCCCAGGGCTTCTCGGATTTCCAACCCCTCGAACAAGCTGAAATCCGGAGGTCAGGGCCAGTAAACATGAATCTAGCCATGTTACTTCTGATCGAAGCTGTCTTCGTCTGAAAGCAGATTCTTCAGGCGTAGGAGCCTTAGGTGTGCCTGCAGCAGAGTGCTTCACAGGATGGCGGGACGTGCCGGCGTGGACGACATTACCGTCATCACGGACAAGGCCATCGGCATAAACACAGTTACGAAGAAGCTGTTGACCTGATGTGTGGTAGAACTTCGAAGAGCCTTCATTGAGCCAGGAGTCTCCGAAGTAGTGTGTAGAGTCTAGAGGTCAGGGCCCCAAACCACTCTCACCTCCCCCAAATCCCCGGCATCAAGCCGAGACTTCGGTTTTCGTGGAGGATTGGGGACTCAGCTGAGGGTGTCCAGTAGCAAGCAGTTGTCACCCCTACGACCCCCCCCAAGTAATGTAGGGGCCTAAATAATTACTAATGCTATTTTGGGGGTTCCTTATTATGATTATAGTATAATGGGCCCCAAGACCCTATCAAAATTATTGAGGCCCTTGTATTACCCGCAAATCTCGTCATATGCAGCTTCAAGCCTCACCTCCTCAAACCCATAGGTCATAGGTTAACACCCTCCGTAAACCACCGAACCCTATCATTAAGCAATGAAGCCTGTGTACACACCCATGGAGCATACAAAGAACCCGCCGCAACCCCCAGCCCTCAACCCCAAACTCCTCAACCCTAAGGCCCTACGACCCGCAAGCACCAAAACCCTAAACCCTAAACCCTAAACCGTACACCCGAAGCCCGTAAGTCCCGGCGAAGAAATGCTCTCCACCGCTAAGTTTGGGATTAGGGCTGTTATGAGGGCCCCGAAACCCTGAGAACCAAAACCCCAAACTCTACCCTATAGAAGGAACCCTGAAAGGAACCCCAAAAGGAACCCTTAAAAGGAACCCCCAAAGGAACCCTAAAAAGGAACCCCCAAGGGAACCGCAAAAGGAACCCCACGAGGAACCCCAAAAGGAACCCCAAAAGGAACCCAAGGCACCCTTAAAAGGAACCCTTAAAAGGAACCCTTAAGGGAACCCTGAAAGGAACCCCAAAAGGAACCCTTAAAAGGAACCCCCAAAAGGAACCCTTAAAAAGGAACTCTAAAAGGAAACCTTGGGGGAGCCTTGGCGGGAACCCCAAAAGGAACCCTAAAAAGGAACCCTTAAGGAACCCCTAAGGGTTTCTAAGAGGCAGGAGTTGGAGATCCCAGCTTTCCCACACGCCGCTGCCTCGCATTCCCGGCTTTTGGAACGTAAAGGTTTAGGGCATGGGGTTTAGGGTTTAGGGTAAGTCTAACGAGCATAGTATATGGGCCTAAATACTCAGCAATAGTATTCTGCGGGTTCATGTTTATAATCTTAGTATACGTAATATACCCCAACATCCTATTCTAATTGTTAAGGCCCCTACATTAGCTAGAACAAGAACCACAACATACTCGGTACTTACTGTCTTGCTAGGTGGTGTAGCATACCCAGAATATACTACTGACACTATACTGTACCATATCTGGTTTTAATGTAGATTGGGGCTTAGCTGAAAGAGTTTCGGGGTAAGGGCTTATAGCTCAGGGTTTCGGACGCAAGGCCTTCGGGTCAAGGTTGAAGCCGTTCGCGCGGCGTCGGTTTTCGAGGAAAGCTTATGAGGTTCATGGGGGCTTCGGGTAGGGGGATTCGGGCTTGGTGTAGGGTCTATGGCTGAACCAATCGACTTGTGTACCATGCTTATAGTTTTTAGTGTTTCGACATTCCAGGTTTAGGGCTCCGGGCTGAAGATTGAGGTTTTGTCTTGTTGCAGCATGCACTGTACGGAGAGGTCAGTTTCCCGTCGTTTCTAGCTTGCTCGTGCCGCTTTAGTGAGCTTTAGTCAAGATCTCTCCAGTATTTTAGGGATTATGTTCGCCCCACATCTCTGAAAGTGCTTATACGCCCGAGGTTCTTTCGTTCTCCGCCATATGCGGCAAGTCGCGAAACGGTGCGAAGAAGGAGACTGGCAACTCGAATGCTTTAGGGTGTCAGCAATTAGCGAGTAACAGTAACATCCACTTTGCAGGAGCCTCCCCAACAGGATAACGCGAGACACTTTCGTACTGGGCCAGGTATGCATGCAAGAAGAGTATAACTTTAACCCCAAAACCTGAACTTTAAGTCCAAAGCCTTTAGTGATGGTTGTCGTCGGATGTTGGGGGTTTCAGCCGGTTGCAGGCTTACATGTTGGACCTCAGCACCTGAAAGCACAACTGCATTTTGAAGGTTGTTACTAGGTGTCCCTATACGATGAGAAACGGGCTATAGCGAAATGTAACAAGCTATAACGTGCGGTAGCACGCTTTCATACACTATGGTTTGTGGTCATATACTTCTACTGGAAGGCCCCTGCTGGCTTGGGGGCTCTTGATCGCTCACAGATGGGGCTTAGGGTTACTGTTTCATGCCTCAGGGTCTAACTCTAGGGCTCTAGGGTGCCTGTTAGTGCCCACGGGAAACCTATACTCTTAACACAGCCTATAAGCTCTAAGCCCAGTTTCGGCCCTAAGCCTTTAGACACAGAGCCTTGAAGCCGAAGGCACAGCTTCCAAAGTACCCTAGTAGAATGCCATATTAACCTTTTACGTGTTAGGTTTCTGTTGGGTCAGGCATGAACTTTGATTCGGTCGTTGTTAGTGAAACAGAAGCCTAGGCCTAGACCCTACCCCTCTTCAACTCCACCTCCTAAACAGGTTAAAGGCTCAGCATGTGGAAGCCCATAAACCCATAATAATAAGACTCGTAGTAAAAATCACAGTCCTTTCAATTAATAACGGCAATAATAATACTAACAAGAAGAAGAAGAACTATCGATAATAACGCCATTAAAGATGCTGATGTAGAATCCCAGCGCGTAACTCCGAAACTGAAGTAAGCTACTCTCAACCCTAAACCCGAAGCCCTCAAACCCTGCACGGCCCACCACCCTAAACCCCAATGCCTACACTCTAAACCCTGAACAAAGGTTTGTGTGGTTCTGGGCGGGTCATGGCGTGAACGTGCCGGATTTCAATGGCGACGAAAAGGATGGCTTTGACCAGGCTTCTTTTTTGTGAATATTTCGGGTTTCACTTTAGGGTTTGGGGTTGTGAGGTGTTAGGGTTTGGGGTTTTGGGAATTTGAAGTTTCTTAGAGCCTTAGGGTTCCATTAAGTGGTTCAGGGTATTGGCCGTGTCGGGCGGGGGGTTTTGCAGGAAGGGGTTCAGGGTTTTGGCGGTTCAGGGTCAGGGATTCAGGGTTTTTGATTCGGGGTTTAAGCGGCCGATGACGATGGCTTTCACCTCTTTTGGCGGGGGATGGGTTGGGTGGGTGGGGTTGCAGGGGGTGATTGTGGTGTTTATGCTTCCAGCAGGTCGTGTACAGGGTTTGGCGCGGTCTTAAGATCGACTTTCGATGTCTGTAAAGCAGATCTGCGGCGTGTACGGCATGTAGCCTTGATTCACGGGTTCACAGGAAGTCTCCGTCTGCACAACTACGGGTTCTTTTGGCCCCCGCTGTTGGCCTGGAGGTCTCAGGATTCGCACGGCTTACCTGTTTTATTTGGGGCCCACATGGGCAGTCTTTTCAGGTATTCCAGTGCGAGAATCACTTACAGGAGTTAGTCTGTGGTGATAAAGAAAGCGCAGCAATCCCAAGCGCCTGAACTTCAAGGTGACCCACCTCTGCTGCTGCTCCACCATGAACTGAAAACGTGCCTTAAACAATCCGCAAATGATGTCTGGTTTCTCAACCCCCAACGCTAAACGCTAAGCCCGGCAAAACATCACTTCTGATCTGCCTGTGTAACTATAGTACCTCCAAGTCTTGTCTGCTGCGGCATCCGTATGTTTACCAGTCTATTCACGAGGGTTTGCCGAAACCCTAACCCTCAAACAACGGCCATGGAGGCTGCATAGCGGCATTGGCACAAAACGCCCAGCAATTTGTTGACGGTCGTCCTTTCCCTGGACTCAGTGTTTGCATACATGTGTAGTTCTCTAAATTAGGGCCCTTTTTTGAGTCCCCAATATAGTACGGCACCCTTATTAAAAAAGGGACCCTAATTTAGAGAACTACCCACACGGTTTTTCCATTTTCCTGCCATCTTCGTGCCTTGTGATCCAGTTCAAGCCGCTCTTGAGCTGGCTCTGCAAGATGACCGGGCATAGGGGGGTTTAGGGTTTAGGGTTTAGGGTTTAGGGTTTAGGCAACAGGAGCACCTGCTCAGAGAAATCGTACGCCCGGATGCCAAAGCCCAAGTCCCCAAATGCAAGACCCTGAAGCTCTCATGTCATGGCTGCTCTGGCCTAGCTACTGTAGACTCTGTAGACTGCAGCGGAAACTCTCTCTCTCTCTCTCTCTCTGTCTTTCTCTCTCTCTCCCTATATATATATATATACATATAGATGTGTAAATAAATAAATAAATAAATAAGTATATATATATATATACACATAAAGCCGGAGTCATCTTCCAGGCCTTCGTCACGCCGGACGTCACTGGACGACTGACCGAATCTGCAGTCCTCATCGACGACGCTTGCTTCAAATAGGGCGCAGTGATTTCGCAGCTTCCAAAAGCTCTTCTCTGACATGACTTTTTGGGGATTCAGGCTGTTGGGGTTTGATCGGAGATTTTGGGGCCCGCGCGTCTAAACTACGACCAACGCAAGACCCCAGAACAAGTCTTGCCCCATCCATATTTAAGCCTAAGATCCGCAATCCCTAAGACGCAAAGTCCTTGCTAGAAGCTGATCTCCTCAACATAAAAGGCTGCTTCCGTGACTCTGGGAAAGAATCCTAATTCCTAAGCTGCAAGCACCGGTGCACTTTCCATCTCGGCCCTAAACCCCGAAAGCCTAAACCCTAAACCCGGAACCCCTAAACCCTAAATCCTATCAGCCCCATATCCTGAACCCTGAGCTGTGAGGATGAGTTTGCCATGGCTTTGGACACCTTTGTCCCAGATGGACCGGCCTGAGCAGTTTCGGGTAGGCTTCGGGTTTGGGGTTTAGGCATCAGGGTTTTAAGGCGTCGGATTTGGGGTTTAGGGTTCAGGGTTTCGGGCTGGCTTTATGAGCTCTGCAAAAGTTTGCCTGCTGTTATCTATGACTGTGTCGATTCACTCCTTTCATCTGTGACTGTGTCGATTCAATTCGTCACTTCAAATCTCCTGAAGTACCCACTACACTGCACACAAACCACGTGAAGTGCTGGACCCCAGACTTTACAGGCCTTAAATCCCAAGCCCTGAACCCCACATCCGAAGCTCGAGACCACAGGGCCTAGAGCATGTTATGCAGACCCATGTGCAGATGTTGTTTCTCATGTTGCGGGATTGGTGCTAGGCTTTGAGATTTGTGGTTTAGGGTTGGGGCTTCAAGCCTTCTTGTGCTGTGCCCGGTAGGAGTTCGGATCCTTTGCATCAACGACTGCTGCCACTCGGGGACGATCTGTGACATCGATCCCCGGCAGAAGGGACCTATACCACAACCCGTGACACCGAAAACCCGCCAAACCCTGGACCCTAAACCCTGACAAAAAGACTTTGCCCCCGGAAAAAGGCCCCGTAGACGAGCCATTGTGATGCATTTTTTCGTGATTAAAAACGCTTCCAAGGGCCAACTCACCACTCCCTACACACTCGAGGTCACTCTCGAAGCGACGCAGATCTTCAGCTTCTGTTCTTATATCTCGCTGACCTTATTCCTCCATTTTATGTACCCGTTCCTACGGAGGGCAATTCACAGACCGTGCTCTGCCTCGAGATTTCAGACACCTTAGTCTTGAGATCCTCACGTTCACGTGTCATCCGCGCCCCTTCCCTTGCCCTTATCCGAACTCTACTCCCAGTTACCTAGAGGAGTAGAGGCAGTTTCGCATGAAGAAGCTGGTCAGCATTCCAGCAACTACCTATATGCACAGCCACAGCAAGCTCGTTCGAAAGATCAGCAGTAGACCAAGTTTTGCAGGGAGAATGCTTCGTTTTGCCACAGCTACCAAATGCTATTCTACTAATGTAACCCTTTATCAAGCTACAATCAGTTGTTCCTTTATTTGGGCCACCTCCCCTAAACCTTTGCTCGATGTTCGGTTTCTGCCAGACCTAAGACCTCGTGCATTTCGAGGGTTGGGTTTCGGGGACATTGAAACCTACACTTCGTGTCTCCGAGTTCTCTAAGGACTCCTTCATGTACAAGCACGACCCTAAACCCTAAACCCTAAACCCTAAACCGACTTCTCTAAGGATTCCTTCATGTATAAGCACGACATCTATTCGATATCGGCTTCACAAGACAATGAGGAGGCTGAAGACATGGGCAGCTCGGATAGCGATCTAGGGGGCCGCATAGAGCCTCTACATAGGTGTCCCTTTCAGGTGCCTGGGTACAGTGCGCGGTATCATAAAGTATGAAAGGCGTAACAAGGGTGCTACATGGCACACTTTGTTTGTAACAGCCTTCGAAAGTGGGACAATTCGACGCGCTGATGCCTTGAACATTCGGCTTGGCAAGGTCTACCTTCTCACAGTCATTCCTAGATGTGCGTTTCCTTGTTCTCAGGGTGGTTGGATCAATTTCAGACCCTTGCCATGACTAGGAGACTAGGATTATTTGCATTGGCTGACCGGTGGCTTTCCCCGACTGTTTTTTATGGCCGCCGAAAGTAAGCCCCACTGCCAGGCATGCGACTTAGATGCTGGGATCTGGGGACTCAGTTCGTAGGATATAGCAAGAGCCGTAGGTACCCTGGCTTTGGATTTTTCTGATGATAGCCCTCCTGGAACCTGTTCATCAGGAACTCCGATCGCGAATCCTCTAAGACACACATTCCACAGGCATAACCTCTAAACCCGAAAGCACAGGTGAGGGAGGTGTTCTGAGCACAGCACTTCGACGGGCCGTCCGCACCCTCAGCGTGGAGTATGGAAACCAGGCAGGGCTTGGCGTTTAGGGTCGTAGGGTTCGGTTTTTGATTAAAGGTTGAGGTTTTAGGGTTTAGGGTTTAAGGAGTCCGATGGGGGTTTTCTATTGGGGTGTGGCATGTTCAGGGGTCCTTGCAAGAGCGCTGCCTTCTAGGGTCCATATTGAGCGTCCCGATTTTCCAACCCCATGCGTGTTGACGGAATCTTTAAGTGTGTCAACCTGTATAGAAACGAAAAGACAAACAGACAGATAAACAGACTGACTGTGGGACTTGGTGTAGACGCGTGTCTAGTATGTATGTCTGTCAAGATGTCTGCCTGTCTGTCCGTGCTTCCTCGGTCTGTCTGTTCGTCTGTCTGCCTGTCCGTCTGCCTGTCTGTCTTGACCTGTTATCCCTGAAATCACGTAAGCCCTGACGACCTTGCTGGCCTCCTGAAGCCCGTTATGCCGGAGAGTGTAGCATTCCTAAACCCTGAACCCTGGACCCTAAACCTTGAGCCCTGTCTGCAGGAGTTTAGCATTATGGATGTCTTCCAGCGCTGCAAACGCTTCGCTGTGCGGCTCACAGGCCGATGGCTTGTCGCAAAAAAGGGTAGGTTTCGGGTTACTAGAATCACTAGAAGGGATACGATAAGGGTTTCTTCAAGAGCGACTGAAAGGGCGATAAGGGCTCGCAAGCTCACTTTGCCAATGGAAGAACTCAACATTTTTAGGTGTCTTTGTTGTCTACATCGAAATGTCCGAACTTTACACGTGTTCAGCTTAAAAAACGCTAAGCCCTAAACCGCGGAGAGTGTTCAGGGTTCAGCGTCCTCGGTCGCAAGCCCCATGACCGCAACTAAAGCACACAATAATGCAAGCCAGCCAAGTGGGATGATGTGGAAGGAGTAACATTGTGATGCATGGGTGGCAGCTTAAACTCTGAATCCTAACCCTCACCCTAAAACCTAAACCCTGCACCCCGAAAGCCCTAAAACCTACGCCCTTCGACACTTGTGGAAGGTGAGCAGAACATCAACTTGCTTCTCGGCTGACTGAAGAGATCGCTCAGCACTCCAGGGTGCAGGGTTTAGGGCTTAGGCTTTAGGGTCGGGATATCTTTTTTTCTTGATTGAAACCTGCTGGAGATAGGTTCTTGACACCCCTGCCCTGATCAGGGCCCCAAATTTAGATCCTCTTTGTTTTGCAGGGTTTAGAACAGGCAAGGCTGTCAAAAGGAACGCTAGGGGTTCATAGCAGGCACCCTGAATCGCCGAATTGCGAGATTGCCACGGTAAACTCCCAAACTGCAACTCCTAAGTCGTAAGAAGAATCAGCACCCACCAGCAAACCCAAATTGGTCCTAAATACCAACTCCGCACAAAAGCCCAGCAAGTCTATGGACATCGCTTGGCCCGGTCAAACAAGCTCCCAAACTCGCACATTCCTAACCTCATAGGGCCCGATACTTAAATTGCTTGGCTATGAACCCTAAACCCTAAACCCTAAACCCTATAAACCCTAAACCCTAAACCTTTTATCCGAAGATCTAAACCAATCTCAGGCCCTCAGGCCGACCAGAGCCTAATATAGAGGCTTAAGTAACTACCAGTACTCTTGTAGGGTTCCATCAATATAGGGTTTAGGGTTTAGGGTTTAGGGTTCAGGGTAGTGTACCCCAAAATCTTATTCGAATTGCCAAGGCCCCTATGGTAGGTGATGTCGCGTCGGAATCAGTTGTTCCTCAGCCCTTGCCCTGCACCGCAAGCCCCTTACCCGCAAGCCCTCAAACCGAAGCCCCCCCCACACCCCAAGCTCTTTTACCTTTGAGGCGTAAATCTAGTAATTAAGTCCTAAACCACAAACCCGAAACCTTTCACAAATTCAAGCGCTAAGATGCCAAAACAGCCAGAGGCAATACTCTGGGCCCAAGCCCTCTACGGTAGCCTGGCCGCTCTGCTTCCCGTGGTGGACCTACCTCCAGAAGGCCTTCTGCAGCTTTTGATGGGTTTAGGGTTTGTTGGTTTTGGGTTTAGGGTTCGATTGGTTTCGGGTTCCGGGTTAAACGGTTTAGGCGTTTCTAGGTTTAGGGTCTAGGGTTCCGGGCTTTGGCTTCGTAGGGTTAGGGTTTCGGTTTGCGGGCTTAGAGTTTAGGTAGGGTCTAGAAGTTCAGGGTTTAGTGTTGATACCAGTACTATCATGGGGGTTCCTTATTATGATACTGGTATACTCCAAGATTTGGCCCGAAACCTTATTCTGCTGATTAAGGCCCCTATGTTGCGTTGTCTGATTTGTTGCGGTCTGCTGCGTCAGCATCTCTAGGTCGAGTCTAGGTGCATTTCGGGTTTTGGGCTAAGGGTTTAGGGATGTTTGGGGTATTCTATGCTTCAGGTTGAGAGTTTTGGGCTTTTAGGATTCTGGTTCGGTCTAGTTTGGGGTTTGGGGTTTCTACACACCCCAACCGTCGAAGACCCATGCCCTCCCCCAAGGCCCCTGGACCCCGTACATCGGCAACCGTACATGGCCCTACTTCCTAGGCCTTCATAGAACCCTCGGCCCTAAACCTTTCGTTTTCATGACTTGTTCGCTCAATCCTACTGTAAATCCGCCTGGGTTCTTAAACCCCGCACTGCTAGCGCTTCGGTGAGGCCGGCTTGATGAAAGTTGACATCCAAGAATTTGCTGAGGAGGGCCTCCGACTCAAGCCATCCAAAGCCCTGCGTGTGCCTGCACTTTGCAGCTTTTCGATTTCAGCGGGTTGCGAATTTCAGCTTTTGTGCTTCTGGGAAGGTTGTCGGCACTTCTGATTCTTCGGGCTTTTGCAAGGGGTTACGAATTCCAGCCTTTCTGGGAAGGGTGGCGGGTGGTGATTAACAACGTTTTTAAAGGCGGGCTTCGTGTCAACAACATGGACGTTTCAGCTCGCTAATGCCTGCCTGCCTGCCCTGGCTGCCTGCCTGCCTGCCTACCCACCCACCGACCCGCCTACCGACCTGCCTCTACCTACCTACCTGCCTGCCTACACCCACCTTCCCTACGTGCCTGCCTGCCTGCCTGCCTGCCTGCCTGCCTGCCTACCTACCTACCTACCTACCTACCGACCTACCTACTTACCTACCTACCTACCTACCTACCTACCTACCTACCTACCT